ACTTATAGGCTATGAGCAAGGATGAGAGTGAGAGGATTGGTTCATGTGCATGATACAAGGAGACAAGAAAAACTAAGAATCACAAAAGGAGAGGAACGGGAAGGAAAGGAAGAAAAAAAATAGGCCAGCCAGACTCTCAGAGTTAAAGGAGTGGAAGGATCATTGTCCGGGAAGTCCTGCTGATCTACATACAGATATCTCACAGGTTGTGCCCTGTGAGGTTTGAGTGACAAGTGAGCAGTAGAACAGAAAGAGGAGGGAAAGACAAAAAAAAAACCCATAAATATGTGCTACCTTGCCAAGAATTAAGAGCCACCTACAATATTTGTCCAGTGAAATGGATTGACTTGGATCCCTCTTGAACCACTGTTCAGACAGTGCAGGCTAGACCAGAATTGGTTGATGTGGGTCAAACATGAGCAATATTGCATGTTCAGCTAATATACATGTATGTGCCCTGTACTTCCTACCCACCATTTCAACCAACTATCATCACAATCAGGAACACCAACCCTTTCAAAGACAAGTCAATATAAAAAGTGATGCAGTAATGACATCAACCATCTGTAGATTTGAGCTGGGGAATTGGAATGAGGACTATCTCTGCAACAATTTCTTTAGGTTGGGAGCTCCACAACTGGAAGAAAAAAAAATGGACTTTTTTCTTCTTCTAATTTTTTCTGGTGCTCTAAACTCATCAGGGATCATTAACATACCAAATAAAAAGGCCAAGCATGCTGAGAAAATTTGGAAGCTACTTGGCCAATCCTAGAGCCTGCAAGGAACATATTCATTCCTCCAAACCAGGAAACAATAGGGAATTCCATGCTCCAGCCACTGAGCTGCTAATTTCTTTGAGCCCTGATCATGCATGTAACACACAATCTTTAAGTAATCTGTACATTGGGAGTGAATCTGCAGCCAAACCTTGTTAAGAAGTCTTCTGCTGATTTTCTGGAAAAGCTTTGAGGTTTATGGGACAGCTCTCCTTTGGATGCACATATCCATGGCATTAAGCTTATTTGGAAAGTGTACATCAGCATCTGTGAGGTCTGCAGAAAAATGAGCACACTTTCAGTGGGAACATAGACTGCAATTATACATATCTGAACAAAGGATAGGGAAAAAAACAAATTCTTGCTTAATCATTCATCTGTGTACAAAGCTTGAGTTGGGGTGTCAGGCTTATGTGACTTAGAACATTTTAACATAGTACAGTTGAAAATGTCAATAACCAACCACATTTTCTTCTTGGGTTCCAGATGGTTGGGGACCAAATCTTTGCACTTTTTTTTTGGGTGAGGATACTCCAATTAAAATGAGGAATTTCCTGAGGTGTATCCAACCAGCCAAGCTCTCTAGAAGGCATATGTGCTCTATTTTAGTGGTCCTGAGTGGCCTGTGGTCTCCTGAAAGCTTGTGGGTTCAACCCCTGACCTGAGGTTTGCTCTTCTCTGAGCCTTTTTCCCCTTTGGGTATGGGCTACATAAACATGTACTTATGTCATCTAATACTATGGCCTTATACATATGTATTTATACTAATATTTATAGACCATCTCCAAGGTTGGAGAAAAAAAGAACTGTTGGTTGGATGCCTTAACTGAGTTAATTCTAAATCCCCTCAGTCTGAAATGCTCAAAATTTGGGTCAGCTGGGGTTGTGCCCATGTGCCCCCTACCATGAGAGCCCAGATGCAAATTGTAATTTTTGCAGGCAGGTCAGTACAGGTTATTGACATTCACAACTGGACTACTGTATTAACTAGTTTGAAGAAGATGAGAATTTGTTGTATGTGGATAAATAAATGTGTTCATGAGTTATAAGCTTACATCACACAAACAGGCTGTACCAGTCACTCTAATCCTGAGTAGAGAAGTGACCTCACACAATCAGGCTACCTTGGTACAGTCAAACCTGAGTTGTGAAGTAACAATGGAATGATGAAGTCAATGTTTGACCAGTAACTTAACCTTTATAATCAGTTGGAATAATATTTAAAGAGAGCTCACTTGAAGCAAACCAGCTCTTCTCTCTTCTTCCCCAGTGTTAAAATATATATCATCATTGGTGAAATATCCTTACTCAACCTGAAGAGCATTCACTAGGGATCTCACTTTCAGAAATACCTCTTAGGTCCAGCTTAGATAACCGTTGAACTTAAGACCAACACGGAGTGAGTTTTTAGGCTTTTTATGGGAAGAAGAAAAACAGTGAGGTTTTTTATTATTCACTGGACCGTCTCAGGTTGGATTAAATAGACTAGATACAAGAGTTCAAACTGTGGTTTGTTCATAAAATGAATAAAAAATGATAATGAATATAATCAACCTTTTTGGGTACGGCATCACACACCAGAAAGAGTGGAATATAACCTTAAAAGATAAGCAAGACTACATGAGAGAAGAAATACCCTCCTCAGACAGGGTTCATTGACTACAAGCTTGGGGAAACCTTCATAACAGGAGATAGTGTCAGACTATTTAGGAGAAAACTTTGAGTGACTAGTGAGCAGATCCTTTAAGATAGAATATAATGAAAACATGTCATGAAATGTGATAAAGAAATCAGAAAGGCAGGAAGAGAGGCATGAGTAAGAAATGAAAATCCAACAATAACTAAGTATTATTAATATACTGAAAACACCTCTCTATCACACCTTTCATCTGTACTCCTCTTGGTGACTGGAATCCATTATCATGTCACCCATACCCCATTTTCCCAATCTGACTCAAGTTGTGAATCTGGATTTCCCTTGGTTAAGCGTCAGGAAGGCCGTGTAAGCCTTACTGAGAAATCTAAGGCCTCATTTGGACAACACCATTATATGTTATAAGTTTTAAAGCTTAGCACAAGATTGTGTTGTGTCAATATATACAACGGTGGGCCAGCTACGCTAACCGTAGCGTAGTGTAGCAAAAAATTGCTACAATTTAGCGTAGCGTTAGCACTTTTTTCAAATTATGCGCTAACGCTACGCGCATGGGGGAAAAATTTGCGCTAACGTTTAGCGTAGCGTTAGCGCGATTCCCCCCATCTGCGCTAACGCTACGCGCCGGCACAGGGCGCAAAAAACCGCCGGCTACGCTGCATTACAGCAATTTTTAGCGGTTTTTAGGTGTTTTTTGCTGCTAAAAACACTGTAGCGTAGCAGCGCCAGCGGCGCACTAACACTACACACAAAAAAAAGGTGCCGCTACGCTAACGCTACATGGGCCTGTAGCGTAGCGGCCCACCACTGATATATATCAACACATATACATCATGCAATTTAGCACTGAACCTTCACATCATCCCTGACATGATTTCCCAGATGGGAAATCTTGTAAATTTTAGGGAAATCCTGTAAAGAATTAAAGTTTTTTCCAGATTTTTTATTTTTTTCTGAATTTTTTAGATTTTTCCAGATTTTTTCAGATTTTTCCAGACTTTTTAGATTTTTCTAGATTTTTTAGATTTTTCCAGATTTTTGGGATTTTTTCAGATTTTTTGGATTTTTCCAATTTTTTAAGACTTTTCTAATTTTTCCAGATTTTTTAGATCTTTATTTAGATTTTTTCAGATTGTTTGGACTTGTTAATTTTTCTCAACTTTATAGATGTCTCTTGCAAAAAAAATCTGGAAAAATCTGAAAAATTTAGAAAAATATAAAAAATCTGAAAAAATATATACAATCTGGAAAAATCTAAAAAAAATTAGAAAACTCTAAAAATCTGGAAAAATCTTTAATTTTTTTTACAGGATTTCCCTAAAATTTACAAGATTTCCCATCTGGGAAATCATGTCAGGGATAATGTGCTTAAAACTTATATCATATAACGATGCGTCCAAACAGGGCCAAAGCAACAAAGGCTCCGTTTGGCAGTCCATGATATCATAAAATATCATAGGAAATTCCTGCAAATTATTTTGGGGAACCACATTTATTATCATAAGTGAAAATCATGTTTGGCTGGTCACGCTACACCACCAAAAATCTACTGTAATAAGCAGATGATGGTCTAGCTTTGTGATAAGTGGTTTACGGTTTATCAACCTTATTCTGATTATCCGGATTTAAATATTTTTTCTTATGATATAATGGACTGCCAAACAAAGCCAAAGTAAATTAACGTGGCTAAGATGTGGGACAGAAGGTGACATGAATATTCATCTGAGAGGGAAGAAAATGAGTGACAGATGGAAAAGGGAGTGAAAGAGATGTGAAAGAGAAATGGCAGAGAGGCATAACAACATTGTAATTCCAACAGGGATATCCTAGCCAAGTTTAATGATCATGTTATTTCCATCTGCTGGTTCAATGCATTTGTTTCATAAATTTGACTGCTTTTTTCAATATCAGCAAGCTAGCTAAAATAGGACCCCAACAAGCCCCCCAATAAGGGGGTGTTGAAAAAGGTATGCAAAGTTTGCAAAAATCCCAAAAACATACTCTTGAAGAAGCTTGAAGAAAGGTATGAATTGTCATTTTGGCCCAAAAAGCCACTCTTGAAATTGTTCGTTCTAGGTGTGTGGAGCTGGCCAAAACCATTAAAATATGGAATTTGACCCCCAAAATCAAAATTAATTTGGCCCGGAACCACCTGCTCTTGCAGGATATTGAAGTGGTATGAAACTCCCAGAAAACAGGTATGGATTTTGTCAAAACCCAGACTCTTTCATCAACACAGCCTACAGGTCTTGCTGGGGTCCTGCTAAAATTCTGTGTAGATGTGAACTGTCCCATTGAATGCAAATTGGTGAGTTTTGAGTGAACATCTCACAAATCTTCAACTGAAATCAGATCACATCCCCCCCAGAAAAAAAGAACATTAAAACAATCAAGGAGCTTAACCAAAATGGGTAAATTCTACCCTTTATGACATGACCAATTGGTAAAAGTACACTGTAGGAGTTCAATCCCCTTGTCTTATGTACTGTTCTGGAGATAGTTTGAAGAGAGAAAATGAAGTTGATCCCAAAATCCACCCTGGGGGTAGAAGGAAACAAAAAGAATTGATCCTTTCTTTTGCAAGCTGGCTGGGGCCCATTTTTTCTAGACCTCAACTCAACCCAGCCAGCAAAATTAAAATACGAGTCATAGCAACTGTGGAGATTGTTGAGGGTTGCTTTGTAAACAACTCACAAGACTTCATCTTGCAGTTTGTTTGTTCGATATCATTGATCCTATTTTCTAAAATTAGGGACCGTTTGCATACCACACTATCAGCTTTGTAGGGGGGATATGAAATGTTGAGACGGCGAGATCCAACTATTTAAATATGTAGAACTGAGGCAGCTTACAAGTAAACATAAACAGGAAGCGAGAATAGGCGATGATGAGCTGTTCTAGAATCTACAAGTTTTACCTTCAGCGCGCAAAATTGCCGCAGATTACTTGATCTTATGAAAATTCTTAATTCTTTCCCCCCCCTACCTTCCAAAGCATTATCCCCAGCTCACTCAGTCTCAACCGTCATCTGGCTGCATACCCAGACGAGTAACATTTTCCTCTCAGTTTGAGCTGTGACATCCAATCGAACGTCGAGTGAACCCTCTCGATCCACAGCGGACTGCTGTATCCCTGCAGCACAGCCCAGCTCAACCGGCTGCAGGCTGTTGACCATCTTCACCACCCCAACCAACCAAGAAGAAACTGAAGAGAACGAAAAGACGACTGAGAGGAAGAGATGGACGGTCAAGAGAATAGTGACAAGGAGGAGGAGAAGGAGAAGATAGTAGCACGAACAATCGAAGAAGAACGACCGACGAAAGCAGAAGAACCACTCCAACAATACCGACCAGCCGAACCTCATCGACAAGAAGATCCTTACCAAGACAGCCAACGGGCACATGAACCTCCTCAGAGGAAAGCAGAGATTGAACAGGTCAAACAGGAGCTTCAAGAGGAACGGCCCGAAGGACCCTAAAACGAGCGAGACCAACAACAGCTTATTAAAACAGAACCAGAACAAGAATATGACCAGCTCCAACCCAATCGTCAGTCATTCTATCTCTTCTCTAGTTCCCAAACATTTATTAACCACCAACTGACTGTTAATGTTTAGCAGCAGACACTTCACAGCCCAAACCCGAAGTACTCCTGCCGGTCTCAGATATTCACTTTACCCAAGACGCCCAGCCGCCCGCTTTCCCAAATCTCCCTCCAATCTCCACCTGTCACTCCGAATCCATAAACTCTCAATTTAACTCAAGAACCTCAAACCATACACCCGAATCTCATCATTCCTCAACAACCAGCATTCATGATGATAATGACTCTGGTCCAGATTACTACACTTCAGAATCCGAATCTGGATCTGAAACAGAATCACAACTATCACCCAAGAAACGGGCGAAACGTGAAAGACTACGGAGCGAGCGTGATAAGATCAAACCGAGTTATTACTACGGAGAGAAGGAATTAGAAGAGGAGGCTATCAAGAAGGGTATCAAGCCACCCAAACGAAAACCGAAGGGATTGAGAGGAGTACCTGTTTTTGAGCCAAGGTCATTGTCTGAGATCCCTCTTTTGTCCTTCAATTCCAGTGCTGAAATCTCAAATTCTCAATTCTTCTTTTTAATCCTTCAAACTTCTTTAGCATGGAGCAATTTCGAAACTTCTACTCTTACATTAACCAAATCGATCGATGGGGAATGAGATCAGGCATCGTTAAAATCATCCCCCCGAAAGAATGGTCCGAGCAACTCCCACATTTGGGTCAGGAGAGCTTGCGCACCGATGGGAAAGGGCAAATGTTGAGGAACGCCAAAATCAAATCGCCCATCAGTCAGGTCATCCAAGGAAGTCGTGGATTATTTCGAGTGATGAATGTGGCGAAACGCAAGACCTACAATGCATTGGGTGAGTCAGATTAATTTCTTTTTGGTCTAAAAGATAAGGAGATAGCGGTTGATGTAGAACTTTGTATGTTCATCCTTTCTTTGCGATGAAGAGTGGTATGACTTGGCCAACAGTGATGAGCACCGGCCGCCCGACTTTTCGAATAAGACACTTGACACCTCATCCGCGAATTTCAGCCAAGATCACCCAGACATGACAAGTACGCGTTCGACCAGAAGCAGTCGTCGCAGCACAAGCTCCATCGCGCCCATCTCTCATAGGATAGCAAACCCACGACGACGCAAGGTCTCCAAGGGCACTTCGACTACTGAAACGTCCACGGTTGACCAAACTTCACCCGAAAAACCAGCCGTCGAGGGGCCGATTGAGTGCTCAACCGAAAAACGAAACAACGAGGAGCCTGTAAATTGTTCACCCGAAAAACGTGATGATGAGGAGAAGAATGTTAACTGTCCTTCACTCAAAAACCCGCATGTCATGCAGAGCGTTACTTGTTCGCCTGAAAAACAAGATCTCGGGCATCATTTCGATTGTTCACCCTCTAAGCTCCTTCCTGTTCCTGAAGACCAACCTCTGCCTTGCCCCGGCGCTAAGGACCCAGAGTCTCCCAAACCGGCACCCAGTCTCACTGTGCCCTTGCCTCAATGCTCTACCGACGCCATAGCCCTAGACTCTCGCGAACTGGCACCTAGTTTACCCGTACCGTTGCCACAGTGCTCTACCGATATCATGGCCTCAGACTCTCGCGAACCGGCACCTAGCGCACCTGTGTTTTTGCCTCAATGCTCCACGTCAGAACTGTCAAATGCAGCAATGAACCACGAGGACTGCCCCAAAAAAGATGCTGGCATCATGGCCAGTTGCTCTGCTGAACCCGATCGCCAACAAGATGATTCAAATACTATCGAAACCCTAATTTCGGATTTTGTCAACCAATCACAAGATCTACAAGTGTCTTGTGCCGCCCCAAACCAACCTTCCGATCAATCGCAAGATCTACAAATGTCTTGTGCCGCTCCAAACCAACCTTCCAATCAATCACAAGATCTACAAATGTCTTGTGCCGCTCCAAACCAACCTTCACCAGTACCTGCTGAGGCCAACAAGGAAAATGACAAAAAGAAACCAAGACGCTCCCTCCAGAACGCGCCAACACCTGAAGAATGGGCCCAATTTGTCGAATGCTACGAAAAGCTGCCTTACGACGCCTCCAAGGCAGATTACACCTTCCAAGTTTGTCGAGAGATTGAACAAGAGTATTGGAGAACCATTGGTAATGGAGGTCAACCTATGTATGGCGCTGATACAATGGGTCAGTTTGTTTTGATTTTCTCATCTAGCATTGCCATCGGCATTGATGCCCCCGCCCTCTTTTCCTTAGGCTCTCTCTTTGATGAGCGTACTAAAGATTGGAATGTCGCCAACTTGGACAATCTGCTAACTCGATTGAAGTTGAAGAAAAAGATCCCTGGAGTGAATACACCATATTTGTATTTCGGGACTTGGCGAGCGTCAGTGCCGCTTTCCAGTTCTACTTTCATGACTCCCTTTTATCCAACATCATTTTCTGACATCATTTTTTGGCTTTTTTAGGACTTTTGCTTGGCATGTGGAAGACGCTGATCTATACTCGATCAATTATATTCATTTTGGAGCGCCGAAATTTTGGTATTCCATACCACAGGAGCACAATCCCCGGTTCGAAAATTTCATGTCTTCTTCATTCGCCAAAGAGCGCCGAACATGTTCACAATTCTTGAGGCACAAGGCTTTCCTAGCTTCGCCCTCCGTTTTATCGTCTGTTGGAGTGCAGTTGAACAAAGTCGTCCATCTACCCGGAGAGATCATCTTAACCTATCCATACGGTTATCACTCTGGATTCAATCTGGGTTACAACTGCGCAGAGAGTGTCAACTTCGCTAACGAAGCTTGGATCGAAAAAGGCAGGAAGGCACAATCGTGCAAATGCATTGACGACGCGTGAGTTATTCTTTCCAAAGATCGATGTGACTTACCATATGCACAGGTTTGGCTGAAGCAATATTTGGCTCTCCGACACAGAGTTACTATCAACGTAGATGCATGGATTGCAGAGCATGACGAGCTATGCCGAAAACAGAGTGAAACTGAAGCACGGACTGCAGAAAAACTTCGACGACAACAGAAGCGCGAAGAACGTAAACGCAAAGGAAGCGAGAATGTGGATGTTAAAGCGCCAAAGAAGAGACAAAAGAAGGAGAACAATAAGGCTACAACAAAACCTTCAGTGGGGAAGATCAAAGTCACTCTTCCAGCGCCTTTGAATCCGTTAATCGATCCTTCGCTTGCGAACCCAACTCCCCAAAAGGTCAAAGCGCCAAGGAAGAAGAAAAAACCGGCGAATAGCAACCCTTCAAATCCTCCTCTACCAGAAAAGAAAGATGGCGATCACCAACCGGTTGTTGTCTTCGAGAACAATCAGCAGACCTCTAGTGCTCCCCAGCTCCCCATGATTCCTCAGTACGAAACTGGCGTCTTTCAAAACAACCTGCAGGGCTCTAGCGCTCCCCAGCTCCCAACTATCCCTCGGTATGAACCGGGTGTCTTCCAGACCAATCAACAGACCTCCAATGCTCCCCAGCTCCCAAATATCCCTTACTTTGGCCCGGATGCCTTCGCAAACAATCACCAAAGCTCTGATGCTCACCAGTTCCCAAACATCTCTTATTTTGCTGACCAAAAATTTCTGTCGGCTGTCGAAGCTGGTCTGATCGACTCTAGGTTGTTGTAAATGTATTCACTATCACAAAAAAATGCGTCTCCAGCAAACTCTTTTTTTTTTATGTTTTTTTACTTTTTACCAATTTGATGAATGATCTTTCTTCTCCCTTTCCATGAAAACAAAAAAAAAAATGATCTGGTAAAATAGTAGCTTCCCTTTTTTCATTTTTTTCCTGCTAAGACTAGTAAGACAAAAAAAAACAAGTTGATACTCTAAATGATGAATAATAACAAATGAAATAAAAATGTGTATTTTTTTTCTGTTTTTTCTTTTTTTTCTTACAAAGTAAAATACAGCCTGTTTCTTATTTTGTTATTCTGGGCTTACTAAGAACAAAGATTAAAAGAACAAAGTTGTGAAAGCTGACTCATGGACAAGATGATCCTGATTGATCGAAATCAATTTGACTTGGTGAAGATCAGGTGGTTCGCAGTCCGCGTGGGTATAATGCCTTAAGATCAGAAGGTGTGACGTCTTGGAAGGTTCGGCACTGTCAAATGCTTTGTGGAGACCAACAACAGCAGGGTCGAACGAGGGTCGCGTGTACCCGGCTGCCGGCATGCTCGATTGAAACCGGTCCGAGACAACAACTAATATGATGCGATCACACTATTGCCTTCGTTGATGTGCCAAGTGAATGAGCCGAGAAGGTGCGTCTTGAGGGACCTGCCTCGCTGATCGATGACCATGTCGGTCATCGGGCTGCACCTCTACCTCTTTGTGGGCTGTCCAGCCAACCATTGCCGCCATTCTTGGGATCCCTTGATGAGGGCTAGCTGACCACTGCGGCCGGGGTCATGCTGGGATCTGGGGTCATGCGGTGACAAGTTTTGTGCGCCGACCGCAAGCTGACCGGAATGATCGTCACTGACCACTCCCGCCGTATAGAATACTCGGTGACTCAGCTGTGCCTGAATGTTTTCGCCCTCATTGCTCCCAATATCGTTTACAAGTAGACAGGAAACATGACCACGATTACGCAGCCTTACACGAACATCGACCTCCTAGTACGCTGATCAAAAAAGTGAAATCGATTTGAAGAAGAAGGATCCGATTTTAGAGTTTCTTCCCTGGCCAGTCCATTTCTACATGCTATAGTTGACTCCAAGAATCTCCGGAGCCTGTTAGATGACAAATCGAATTTGGTAGAGTACTCAAACTTGTTGTTCGAAGAGGAAGCCCTCTTATCTAGCGATCAGATCATTTGTTGGTCAAGCTGATCATCTGGTCTCAGTACCCTTCAGGACAGTGAGAAACTGTATCAGCTCGGCAAACGGATTGGATTGAGGAAGCAACATGAACGGTAGCTCGAAGAGGTCAGGCACGCCTCACAAAGACTCTTGATCGATCTCCAACGCGAACTAGGACTGCAGCTACGAATAGAAGAGACCCAGCCAATTACTCGTCTCGCCAGGATTATAAAGATGTTTTGTTTGACTTGACTACGTCTCCATAAGGCCCTACCTCGCGAAGCTCTCCGGATCCATTATGCCGTTGCTAGCATTGCTCAAGATATCTTGTGTACCTCCAAATATCGAATATCCCAACGGCTAGTCAAGTTCCCTTCACGATTCAGGCGCTAGGTTTGGTCTGGCTGAGATTGATGCCTTGCACCATGCAGTCGTTCGGGAAGCTGTGCTCCGAGAGCGACGGTATTCTGAGCACCTGGCTTTATAACATGTGGGATGCTGATGAGGCCAACTCGTATCACTCTTGGAAAGTACTCTGACCCTGTCTAGCGCCACTTCTAGTGCTCTATATAATCTTATTATGCTCTCATCTCGTGCCTTTGAGCTGCTACTATGACTGCTGCTGCAACCCCTGTGATGCCACTGCCTATTTCTGATCCTAAAGCTTGGTCCTTTCAAGTTGTGACAATCTCAACATTGACTCAACTTTCTTGTGATCTTCATTTTTTTTTTTTTTTTTGCTTTGTGTTCACTTGATCCCTTTATGTTTCTGTTTATCAAGTTTTTCATTCTATTCTATCAAGTTTTTCTCTCGATCACTCTTAAAGCTTGAATCAATCTTTTTTTTCTCTTATCGTCAATTCTTGACCTCTTTCTTATCAAACGTTGTACTTGAATCGATTCTCTCATTTTTTTTCTGGTTTGGTTAGCAAATTGGAGTACAAAGAACTGCAATTGAGAAAGATCAGAGTGAGCAAAAACTAGATATGTAATTCGTATTTGAGAGCAATCGCAGCGAGCAAGAGCAAAATCTTGACTGTTTGGATTGGAGAGAGATCAGAGCAAGCAAGAGCAAACACTAGACTGTTTGCATCAGAGAGAATGTTGGGATCGATTGGAGTAAAAAAGAAGTGTTCTCCTTCATTCGAAAGAAGCCATTCGACATCCTGTAGTTTATCCGATGTGGTGTATGGTCGTAGTTTATAACTAGCGCAGTCGAGGGGTGGTTGGTTCTGAAAAAGCCATGACCGATGTGGCGGGTGTGTGAGGGTTGCTATGTCACGTGGCTAACCAATATTGCCATCCTCCCTAGCTCTGACCCGCACTGATGCGGATGCGCTAAGGCTATGTAGCTACAACAAAACCTTCAGTGGGGAAGATCAAAGTCACTCTTCCAACGCCCTTGAATCCGTTGATCGATCCTTCGCTTGCGAACCCAACTCCCCCAAAAGGTTAAAGCTCGCCAAGGAAGAGAAGAAGAAAAAAAACGGCACCTTCAAATCCTCCTCTACCAGGAAAGAAAGATGGCGATCTCAAACCGGTTGTTGTCTTCGAGAACAATCAGTAGTGCTCCCCAGCTCCCCACGATCCCTCAGTATGAAACTGGCGTCTTCCAAAGCAATCAGCAGGGCTCTAGCGCTCCCCAGCTCCCAACTATCCCCTCGGCATGAACCGGGTGTCTTCCAGAACAATCACCAGGCCTCTGACGCCCCCCAGCTCCCAAAGATCCCTTACTTTTGCCCGGCGTCAAGGCTTGAGTTTAGGGTCGTCCTGCAAAAGCCTCATGGTTGGTCCAATAAAGACCATCGGCCTACCCCTTCCTTTTCTCAAGTCACATTCTGTTTCTTCATTCCGCAATCGTTTTTCTCATCCATTTTTATCCTGTTTCATAAATTCTAAAAAAAAAAATGCTCCCTTCTAGAGACAGGGCAACATATTAAATTTAAATAAGATGCTGCTATGATCTGATCCATCACAAACAAAGCACCGGCTGCTGCATTGCCATTGATGAAAACGATTGTAGTATACCTCGACGCTAGCGCAACAAGCGTTTTCTTTTTGCTTTCCATGATCAATAAGGGTCAACAGTTACCTGCAGTGTTGAGTTAGATATCCGTATTTTTATTCACCGGTTGCTTAATGAAGCTAGTTGCATGTACGTCTCTCTCTCTCTATGTTGGGACCGATAAGCTTCACGGTGGGCATCAGCATTCTTTCTAATAACACAACGGTCCGCTCAACAGACGGCAATTCTTTACATTCATGGTTCTAATTTGGCACCAGCTCCGATGACGCTGTTTGACGTGATCAATAAAAGTTTACAAGTCCATGCGGTCTCCTATCCTATCAAATATTCTTTATGTTAATATGCGCAATTGCAAACATGCAAAATACAAACTTTCCGATTCCCAATGCCCATTTCCCGGTGCGGGTGTGTGTAAGGATTTATGTATATCTGGTATTGTTTTTTTTAGGGTGGGGGTTACCCGGCTTCATGATCCGCAAAGTGTTGAGCGATGCGATCTGTGTTATTTCCGGGTGCGGGCATGTATTTTATCGACAGGTCCACAACAGAGTGACGGGAGTGAAGGCGAGAATGGGTGTGTTGATTTGTAATGTGCACTTGGATAATAATTTGGTGGAAGTGCTCGAGGTTGAGATATAGGATTCGGAGGAAGCAAGGCGGAGATGTGAAGCCAGATGCAGGAGAAGCTCATGGCGCCGGCGTCGTCGTCATCATCATCATCCACTCTGTAAGATGTCCAGATCTTTAAAAGTAATTTGCCTGGGCCAGAAAGAAAGGGACGGCGATTCCAAGTTCCCGATGACTTCCCAATCCACAACCTTACGAATACGCAGGCCCACAACTCATGGGGTCCACCACTACTTTGAATGGTAAGCAGATTGGGGGCAAGTCACGACGGGCCTGGCTCGTTTCGACAGGCTTTTCAAGCTTTTTCAGGGTACAAGGGTGTTGGCTACGACAGAACTGAAGAAGCGGGCGAGATGTAGCCATAGTAGCTGATTAGACCTGGTCAGCCGGCCCGGGCATGTCCGATCACATACACCCAACACTGCTCCTTCGGGCGATCCGATGGTCCACTGCCGTTGGGCTCTCTCACTCGAATACACCAAGTAGTTGCACACTTTAAACCCACATCCCCTCAGCCAATCCATCCCAAAGCGGCAAGCATGCTGGGACCATCCCAGCCCCAGCTGGTAACCACCGGGCTCACAGTCCAGCAGCAGCTGACATGCTGCTGAATATATGGGCCCCTTCGTCTTGTTTTCTAATTATCAATACTACATGCGGCCGTGACGACAGGGAAGCTCATGACAACCCACGAGGGGAACGTGATCTCGAAGTACCACTTTCGATAGTCCGCCCAACTCGACTCTCTCTATGTAGTAGGATCCGACAGATTGTCACTGTCGGCCTTCGGACTCATTCCGAGCTGACTGCAATAAAAAAGAAAGACCCTTTAATTTGTATTTCTTACTCACATCCAATTAATGACCTCAGCTCAATCAGGCATTTATCACCTCAAGCCTCATGCACAATTTTATATATTTATCATCTGTCTGTGCACTCGACGCAAGTCCATTTTGACCGGACCAGATTGATTCCCTTTTTACTTCTGCTTCGGGAGGAGAAGGATTTCTACAAAACATACTCACCATTACTTGCCCGCCCTTCCCACCGCTCTATAACACGCGGCTAGATAAGATCTGCTTTGCTTTTTTCTCTTCACTCAATCTTATTCCACCACCATGAGCCTTCAAACCGTATAACGCCCACTAGCACCATCCAACATCAACTCACGCATCTCCTGATCTAGAATAGTTGTCACTTACAAAATCCCCCCCCCCCCCAAAAAAAAAAAAAAAAATCCAATACTTCTTACTATTCCCGAAAAATTACCGGGAGCTTCTCGCCGAAGGTCGACCTCAATCATGTCACACATCATCAAGTTTTCTTTCTCTAGTCTACTTCCCGCCTTGCTTTTTCTCTCGTTTACTATCGCCGCCCAACGGACAACCCCTCACTTTGTACCATGCCCATCGAGCTCCGGGAGTCTGTTGCGCTCCAGCATCTCTAGCCGGGACTCCAAGCAAACATTATGTGCGCAAGAAGCCCAATACATCTCCTCGCGTCGCGCCAGAGTGGCCCGACCAGCGTACGCCCAATATCTAGACAACGTCAAACGCTCCCTTCAAAAATATCAGCCTACGGCAGTCCTTCCAACTTACCTGAATCAAATCATGGCCGGCAGAAATCCTGCTCTACTTCCACGCACCGGATTCGCCGTCTCCGGGGGTGGGCTCCGTGCAACACAATACTCCTTGGGCGTGCTCAGCGCATTTGAAGGCCAGAACCAGAAATCGGCTCAAGTGGGAACTGGTGGCCTGTTGAACGCTGCAGACTACATCGCCGGCTTGAGCGGTGGATCATGGACCGTGGTCGGGCTGACTTATGGAGCCTACGACTTGTCCATGGTTAACAATCCCAAATTCCTCACTCATCTCCTGCCACACTATGACTTTTTTTCGGTAAGCACCACAAGAAAGTTTGTTCAACTCAACTTATGGTGTTGACATTTTTTTACGCCTTATTGTCCTTACCATGACTCATGAGTCTAGCCAGGCAATTCCTCAAAAGTCTCCGGCTTCACATCCGATGATCTGAACAAAAAGTATCTCACCGAAGGGTTTACTAAGATGGCAGCCAAACGGCAAGCCGGATTCAGAGTCACCATGGCCGACATGTGGGGCCTGTTCCTCCGCTTTCATACCCTCGGCCAAACCACCGCGACGAATTTTTACGACTTCTCTTTGCCCCATGGGGCTGATGAATCATTCTCTGGCGTCAGAAACTTGTACGAGTTTTGTTTACCTCCCCATCCACTTGCAAAATCAGAACCACTGAGACAGCAGATGTTTTTTTAGGCCAAATTTTCAAAAATTATTGCAGCCCTATCCCATCATCACTGCCCTAGGCTCATCTTCTTCGCCTGACCAGTATGTCTCAAGCAAGCAGCCCTCTGCATTCCTGCCGATCACCAGCAACCAGTACGAGTTCACGCCCTACGAAACGGGCAGCTGGGACTCCAACCTGGCCAGCTTCATTCCCACCGAATACTTCGGCACTCGGCTCAAGGCCGGGAGCCCGCTGGACCGCACCAAATGCGTCAACAAGTTTGACCAGACTCATTATCTCTCCGGGATCTCCAGCGACATCTTCCCAACCCTCAATACCACCGAGGAATACTTCTTCACCAAGAGCGACATCAAGTCTTTGGTTCAGGCTATCAATAGCACCTTCGGCAAAGACCAGCCCGGTATCTCCATCGACACCGCCTCAGTCCCTAACCCGTTCTTCCAGTCCGGCAAACCAACTTATCCCGACAAGAATACTATCGATTTGAGATTGTTGGATGGTGGCCTCGATGGTGGTCAGTCTGAATCCCCCTTTCCACTCTTCATTTCTTGAATTAAATTGAATTTTTTTTTCCCCTCTGCTTATTCTTGAACATCCCAGCCGTCACGCCGTATTATCCTTTGTTAACGCCAGCCCGCCAACTAGACGTGATCATTGGGATCGATGCAATCAGCTTAGACAATGTAAGTCACGGTCGAGCGGCACTTGAATCATACGGCCGATTCGGACACTAACTTTTTCCTTCCAAAACCGATAATATGAATTTGCCAGGATGGCGGGGACAATTATGCGACGGGAGCCTCCCTGAAAGCGACGTTTGCCCGCGACTCGATCCAGCTCAAGCGTCGCTTCCCCAAGGTGCCTGAAGATCCAAAGACGTACTTTGCACTCAGAAGTCATCCGAACTTCTTCGGCTGCGAGGAGCCAGACACCGCTCTGGTGGTCTGGCTCCCCAACTCAGCCCCGATCGATGGCTCCCCGGGGATCACGAATTCTTCCATCAATCGAGTCCACGTAAGCTTGGTCCGTCCACGTTTTGACGTTCAGATCCCTAATTAACCACATTCCACACGTTTTCTTTTTTTTTTTTCTCGCGTAGTACGAACCTGCAGAGTCGCTCAAAATCATTTCTGCGGCTTCCGAAATCGGCTATCGTGGATACCCGACCCCACAGCTGATCAAGACGAAACAATACCGAGATCCGCTATGGCCAGTCTGTCTCGCATGTGCCGTCGCTGACCGTTCAAGGTCACGGATGCGGGTCCAAAGGGACGGCGTTTGCGCGGAGTGCTTCGATCGGTACTGTTGGAAAGCTCAATAGAGTCCCTCTCAGACTCCATTCCTAGATCCATCAATGAAAAGGAATCATAAATTTGTGGATATTCGGTTGTTATTTGTACTTTTGATGTGTATCAACTTTAATCTTGCAATCCCCCCAAGTTTTTTTTTTTTTCTTCCCGAGGAGGAGGAGCTGCCAAACTGTGTACGCCGTCGGCAATGAAAGACGCCTTTTTATGTTTAAAGGACTATATAAACCCATGCAAATCAATCGTCGTTCAAAGATACCCACATCACGGGCCCAAGCCCGTTCATGTAAACCCATACCTCCAAGGGACCTTGATTACACATTGGAGTCCTTCAAGATATCAAAAGTTTCTTGGATTACGGAGTTTTGTTTTTGAGAAAAAAAAAAGTGAACGAAGCAGTTTTACGAGATACTATACAAAAGCCTCCAGGTGATTATGACCGAGAAGAAAACACAGGATGGATCGATTTCACCCAGCCATAGAGATCATGGGGACGACAAAAAAACGGAGGATTGTGTTACATGGCTAGACGATAACTGACGTATCTTCCAGCAGTCTCAGAAGGCCTGGTGATCCGGACCACTTGTCCACGTTTCAGACCGTAATATCTAGCGACGGGATCACTGAGTTGAATTCTGGGTAACTGGGTGTCTTTCAACCGACTGTGGAAGAAAGTTTCAGGGGAAAAAATCAGCTTAACTCCCGACGATTTTTGGTTGAAGGTAAAACAAAATCCAAGGTGAGGTGATAATAAGAACTGACTATCGTGCCAACAAGGCTTTCTTCTCTTCGGGTTTCATGACTTCGTGCTTGGGAACCATGATGTGTCGGGTGATGTTGACCAATAATTCGGCTTCCTGGAAGGCTTCCAGGGTGAACTGTTGGGCCATCGAGGCGATCACTTTGTTCGCCGACGGCGTCATCGCTTGCGAATAGATCAGGATCCCTGACTCTAGCTTCTTTTCATCAAGAATCGAAATGAATCTTTTGTTTTCGTTTTCGGGGGTTTATTTTTTTCCGGCGTGAAATAAATAAAGATAAGCTCAGTTGGTAATGTATTCTTGGGCTGGTTTGGAAGGACGACTGGACCGACTTTCTCATCGTTTTAATTCCGACGGACTTCTCATCCGAATAGTACACATAAATCCCTTGGTTAGTTTCTGGATTGATCGCGGCGAAGTTCAAGCGAGTGGATTTGCTAGGTTGCGAGGATGGGAACGGACGCGAAAAACCCAATCTGATCAGCACGAGAACACGACGTTCGATGAAGGATCTCTTGGATTTGGAGGGATGATGAGACTGACTTGGAGATCGGATCGGAAGCTTTGAATTCGTCCAAAGACACGTTGATTTCCGCGTCCGAGACTTCGTATCCCTGAGCGAGGTTCGAGCAGAAAATATAAAACAAAAAATGCATATGTCAGAACAAGTTGAGCCAATCTGTAGGACCGTTTTTGTTTGTTTCGTGCATGCAGGAAGGGTTAGGGGAGGGACAGACCCGATCGCGGACGAGTTCTTTGATGGTCCGGTTGACTCGATGCAGTCTTGAGACTTCCCGATCGTCGTCCATCTGAATAATCCTCTCGTATTATTTTTTCTTCCTTTTTTTGTGGTGATGGTGGTTGGTTGGTGGAGGTCTCGATACCAAGAAAGTTTGGAAAGTGGGGTTGGCCGCAGCCGGAGAGGGGGTCTGGAGAGGCAGAGCAGCCTGCCGCACCGCATACACCCAGACACTGCGCGCGCAACAGAGGGGGGCCTCGCCTGACCCGCGCCGAGAATGCAGCCAAGCCGAACTCCGGCGGAACCCCGGTTGTGTGTGCAACCAACCAATCACCAAAATTTGCACCGGACCATTTTTCCGCCACCTTCCACATCTCTCGAATCGTTGTTGAAACTATGGCCAGTCGACAGGCTGGAAAGGCCAAGGTATGTCCCCATTGAACTCTCTTTCCTCAGAGATCATTTCGGACATGGATGTTGTTTTACTGACTTGAGAAACCTTCAATTATGGCCGCTTTCGAACGCTTATCATCATCACCCTCGGATTTTGACTCGGCTCACTTCAAATCGAAATTTGGTTCTACTGCACTCCCGCCTTCGACCCCACTCACTTGGTAACCGTGACAGCCTTTGAAAGCCCCAAAGAAAGCTACCAAGGAAGAGGATGAAGATGATAAAGCCTTCAAAGTGAGTGTCATCAATCTATCGCCACCACAAGATATCATACTAGACTAAAGATCCCTCTTCTTTAATGTTCCTCACTCAATCGGTAAAATAAAATCGGACGATGTGGTGGCACTTGATCGTTATAAGGCTAAACAAAAAGCAGACGCTGAAGCGATGAAAGCTCTGCAAGCAAAGGCTTCCGGAAAAGGTCCTCTGGTCACCACTGGAATTAAGAAGTCAGTATCTTCTTTGTTTCCTTCCTTCCAAGAGCCAAAAAACGGCATGGATTTTTTGAACTAAAACATTCGTGTTGATGTGAATGTGTAGGTCTGGCAAGAAATGAGATTGGCAAGATGAATTTTGCTGGACAGATGTGTACCTCCAGGAGCAGTCCATTCATGACTACCTTGTCCGGTGTTTTTGATTTTTATCTTCGGAGAGCGGAGAGATGGGACTGCCGATTTTGTTTTTGTGTTAGTTTTCGTCGTCGATGATCTTCGTGTAACTTGTTGCAATTACTGTGCCACAGCTCCCGTCCGGTTCCTGTCACCATCATGTTGAGGGGTGTTTTGTGACCAAGACTGAGTCCGAAAGGGATACATATGGATTGCGAAACTCAGCCGCAGATCATATCTGCTAACATGCCCTCCTTGCACTGGACTTAACCTTGCTTGTCTCAACCCGAGTAGAACCAAATCACCTTTTTTTGCAAGTCAAAAAGTCGAACCTTCAACGATCTATCCACCCCACCATTTTTGTTTCGTTTTGTTTTGTTTTTTTGTTTTCCTTGTGATGAGCTAGATCAAGGAACTACAAACAACATGATACTAGAAATAATGCGGATCTGATTCTTGTGTTGTCTATTTTCTCATTGCAATGGGGACTACTGGAGTTCCATGTAACTTGACAATCAGTAAGAAATTTGTCCCTGGGGACTAGGGGAAAGGATATTGGAATTTGGAATCAAAAGACGAGGAGGGTGGTTTCAAAAAAGAGCTACGAGTCTCTCGCGGACTGTGGACGATACCAATAGCCATCACAATTCACTTCCATGAATCCGTGCCCCACCCCTCTTATCATAAAAAGGAGGTGACTGTCACTAATATTTTTGTGCCTTCATTGATTACTATGAATGACAATTCTTCACCTGTGCATGTATCCCTCTTTGGACTGGGTGTGAAAAAGTGACGACCATATGTGATCCATTTTTTTAATTTCCCATGTTCCTTCTTTTATTGAGTGGATAAACCTAGTTGTAGGAAAGGAAGGGAAAAGAATTGACTATACTAAGAAACATACAAGGAGAGGATCAGAATAGCAAGATAGATAATAAGGTGTGTGTGTTATTTCTCAGTGTATCTAAAACTGAAACAAAACAACAGAAACACTGGAACATAGCATCAAAAAAAAGGAAGGGACTTGAGTCTAGAACTTGAACTTCTCCTTCTCGCGGTCCCGGTTTTTAGGGTTGGCAGACCCGTCGGCTCTTCCTTTCCGTTTAGCAGATTCCTGGGCGACCACGTCCGAGAGATCTTCGCGCCCGCCTTGTTGATTGCCAACCCCGCCTCCACTCGCTCTTTGGCGAGACTCTTCGTAGCGTTGTCGCAGTTGCTCCTCGGATAAGCCCTCCAGCTCTGAGGGGTCTAGCGCTACATCCACGCCATTGGCTTTGCGCTGTTGTAACCACACACACATGAAATTGACAATCTTCAGTTCACCAAAAAACAACACAATGGCCATGAGGTAGACAATTAGTATGAAGATTCAGACCCACTTTTGTTCCTCGATCTTCTTGTCCAAGCATGGATACATTGTGCCCATGTTGTGATATTCCACGAACGTCATAAACGCGATCACTGCCCATGAACCCAGTGATTTTGGTTTCCTTTTCGGGTATTACATGGTACAGGGACTTAGGTCCACTATCAGCCTCAGCTTCCACGGCTCCGGTCCCTTCGCGTCGTTTACGCAGCTCAATAAAGTCGGGTGTTTCCAGTCCCCCAGGAACTGTCGACGTGATGGATGCAAGTCCAGAGGGGGTCTCCAGTCCTGTTGGAGTCTGCGTTCCATCGCCCGCTGAGGGGCCGGCTCCTTCGCCGTCCGATTCTTCTTCTGATTCCTCCTCCGATTCCTCTTCCTCGTCTGATTGTACTTCACCCCACAGCTCTTTTGAAACAGGTTCCCCGTACTTGAAGAACATAAGAAGCAGAGGACTATTATTCAACACACTACTAGCCTCTTTAGAAAGCCGACTAAGTGAGTGATCGGCTTACCGCATCGCTATCAAACTTGGGAGCTTGACCAAATACATCCCCATATAACGGTCGACCGAATTCGTCGGTAGGTGGTTTACCCCAACCGCCAGGATGATAGCCCCACTGTGCCCCTTCGGGAATCGGTGCGTTCAGTCCAGGAATTTTGAGATTAGGGTAGCTGGGAGGCGGGCCATATCGTTGCATAGCGATAAGCCATGGTGGAGGTGCCAGGGGAGGAATAGAAAGCGCTTCCTTCAGATCTTCCGATAAATCTCCTGGCCGTTTTTCTTTTAATTTTGTTTCAAATTCTTTGCCTTCGTGGTACCTGTGATGGAATTAGCAAATGGAGTTAAATATCTGTGTTGAATGCTGCTGTATATAATTCCCCCCAAGAGGTCGGTACACTCAACATTTCACCAAATTTCGTCATCACTGGCGGTACTTGGAACTTGAAGAAGGCGTCATGTAATTTTTGATAATCAATGTCAATCTTTCCCATCTTTGGCTGAACTCGTTCCCTAGTTTTCTGCCTCAGTGATTGTTCGGACTCTTTTTCTTTGATAGCGTCACGCTGAGTTGCAATCCCGGTATCCGCAATGTAACCTACATATATTTAGAGATCAAGCAACATTGACATAAGAAGTCGTGTATTGAATAATTCGGTAGGTTAAGATGAACATAGGGGGTGAGAGGACGAAACTTGGAAGTTGGAATGCAGGTTTCTCGATCCCTCGTTTGCCTTGTAGATAATCCCTCTTTTGACTCCAGTGGATCGGAATCGGAACTGTATTCCGATAGCTTTTTAGTTGGACTAATAACTTCGGATCCTGAGCTGTGACGTCCACCCATTCGACTACTTCTGGCTTCTTGACTAGTCTTTTCAGCTCGGCTACTGTTAGTCGGGCCATCTTCCGTTGCTTGCGCTTTGAAACATCAGGTTTGGGTGCATCTGAATCACCACTGAGAGACAGTAAAAAACAGCATTGCCAAATGTTTTGAGTCAGATCGGTTTCAATTGATTCGCAAAGTTGGACTGTAACTTACTCCGAAGGCATCTCATCATCTGAATAAATCACTTGGCCTTTACTGGGGTCTTCAGGTTTCTCTTCTTCCTAGAAATTACAAAAGGCGAGACAGAGTGTAAAACAGATACGAATGAAGCGATCTCAGATTTTCGTTGGGCTTTTTTTCTGTAGAAGGAGAATGGATATTTAGCGTCAAGACGCCATCCCGCAGAATTACATACCATACTGATAGTATCCTGATCGGTCGGCTGGAATTTTGCAAAGACGTCGGCAAAGAGTTCACGAGTGGAATTATCCAGTTCACCTGTACCTAATAGGGCATCATCGACTACTGACGATGCTAAAGACTGCACATCACCGCTTTCGTCATCCTCCTTGTTCTCGTCGCTTCGATCAGCAGAATCCTGGAGTGGGGAATAAACGATTCAGGAGATAGCTGGTCCGGTTAAGATGATGTTCGAGAAGAATCAGACGCACGTGTTTAGGCGAGGATACTCCGTTGATGTTGGAGTGGGTAGTTGGTCGTTTTGGTTTCTGCTTTTGTTTTAATCGCTTCAGTTGACCACGGGTGAGACCTTTGGTCTTGGGATGGATGCCATTGGGGTCGTTTCCGTTGAGAGCGACGGCTGCCATTGTATGGTGTTTGCGGTTGGAGTGCCAGTGAAGTCAAGTAGGATGTGGTGGTCAACAGACTCGAAGAAATTCCACCGAGCATACATAGAAGAGGTCTGACACTTCAAATCGGGGAGGAAGCTGTAGCCGGTGTGGGAACTTCAAACCGCTACATTGACTCGTCAAGTTGCTTCCCAAAAGACTTTTGATCAACCTCTTCTTAAAAATTGTGTCAGGCAAAATTAATTACATATTAACTTTCTTGAATCAGCCACAATTTGGTGACACCTCACCCTCTTCAATTCCAACTGCTCTCTCTCCCTTCAATAGTGGTTTGTTTTTGTTTATTTTTTCCAAAAAAATCAAACAAAAACTAATCCAAGGTTTATCAAAAACTACTGGAACTGAACCACCCTTTTGAGTTATACAAAAATCCTTCACAAATCTCTTTCTTTGAAAACTTGAGCTAAGATCAATAATCCCCTGAAATAACTGCTTAAACAATTTTCATCTTCTGAGTATAAACTATAACATCAAGCCACTCCCCTGCTTATCCTAGGTCTTGTCAAGCAAGCACAGCAGGGGTTTGGGGTAATTATTTGGCTGGAAAATGGTGTGACTTTCTTCCTCTTATTAAATGGGAACTGCTGTTGAGTAAGATCTGAGTAACAGTCAAATTTTCATGAAAGTTTCTGCATGTGGGTCCCGGACGTGGGGAATTGTAATGCTTCCCATTCCTTTCAGTGTAAGGCTCTTGATGCAAATTCTCTCCCATGGACAGTGTCCCACTGGTATTATTACTTGGGATCCGCTATTTGAAAGTGATTGTTTGAACTATAATTTCACCACAACTGTTGCTCAAACTTCATGTTGCTGCAACAAATTGCAGAACTCAGTGAATGCAGTGATTAATGTACGCTTGCATAAAAATGGGATCTCAAAATTTGTGATGTCTTCAGTGTTGATTCAAGCTTTAAAATGCTTCCAAACAGGCCAAAGAGGCCACGATTGATCAACAACCAATAAATTATGAAATAGCATGAACGAAAGACTGATAATTATTTACATCTGAATCATATCTAATGATGTTGATATAAAGATAAAATAAATCAGGATTAGTGGTCATACGTGTAGATTGGCGGTAGGACGCGACAGTGCGTTGCAAGTATGAAAAGAAAGAAATGTCGAAAAGGCCGGCTTTTTTTATATTTCTAGTTATTTGGAAGGAGTACCTGACCGCCTTCACTGCAATAAAATTCTTCATCCACAGCTTTTTTTTCTGATATATCCACAAAGCTAATCACGGTGAGGTTGATTATTTCCAACGCTACGATCACAAACAGGAAGCATTTGCTTAATTCTTGCGAGCGTGAAGTCACATAGACGGCGCCGAAAAGTAATGGCCCTATAAATTGCAATTGTTGATTCTATTTTAGTCAATTCATCAGGTGGACCGAGTTTCGATTTCGCATAAGGAAAACTCACCAAACAAGTCGTACGCTAAGATTCCAATTAATGAGAAGCTTGAAATAACATCCGCACTCCCGATATTGTCCCTCTTGATGGCGATTAAACTTAGTGCAACAGCTTGAATGGCGGGCCCGGTTGATCGAGATAGAGCTTCCAGAGCAGACGGGACGATAAAGCTCAGCATGCTATGACTGAACAGTAAGCAAACACCACATATCATGCCCCATCCGATCGAAAATCGGGCCAAGTTAAGATCGATCTCTGTGATGGTAATTCCACCAAAAGGCGGTCAAGTTTATCAGATTGAAACACTCCTTTTAATGGTGCATTAAAAAATTGACTGACGGGTTTGGTAGCTCTTTTGAGAGATTGAAGAGTTCAATTCAAGCTCTTGGCCCTTTGTTGCCGTTGTCTTCCATCTGGTATCGTTCTCAGTTACTTCTAGTACCACCTCCGATGGACAAAGAGTAAGACTTGATCGACTCGTGTTGGTACTCGGACAGCCAAATACCACGGCAGTCGGCTTGGATTGAGGGGATAGGTTGCTAAAATTCAGGTCCATCGACGCATAATGAAAATCACCCGCCACATTTTGACCTTCCAATAGATCTGAGCCGTCCACTGAAGATCGTTTGACTGGATCATGATTTGCCTTTCGATTCCAAACGTACAAAATCAGCGGGATGACAATGAGTAACGAAGCTACTCTACTAGAACCCAATATTGTCAAGTATTCTCCAATCTTCACTGCATCCCAGTCAAACTCTGACGCGGCATACTACGAGAATGAAAAATTAGACATCAGTTAATTCTATCATATGATCAGATCTTTATTATATAGAAATGGTTAGACTGACCTGTAATTTGACTGTGGAAGACCCGCCGACGAAGCAGTAAAGGCCATAGCTAATGGCAAGTAACAGCAAGCTACGATCTCCACGTACTGGCCTCAAGACATGCAAAGGCGCAAGAACGGACTTTCTTTGAGGCTGAGAATCTCTCGAGAAATCCATGCCGACGGAGAGCTTTTTATGAGGCAGAAGGAAGCGCGTCACAAGCGCCAAAGGCGGCAAACAGACCAGTATCGCGTAGGATGGAGCCAAAAGTTGGGCGTCGGAGAATGCTATCAGCCAATTGGCAAATGAGGGACCGATCGCTGAGCCAACCATGGCGGCTCCTGCAGAGAGCATGAGGCCCGTCGCCGTGGAAAGTTGATGCTGACTGAGATGGTCATGGACATATCCAGTAATTCTAAAGGGATGTTAAGAACCTCTGTTAAAAAAAACGTGCTTTTTTTCCTTATTTTTATGGTTTTACAATCGCCAACACTAACAGTGTATTTAATGTTGCTGGTCCTCCAAGAATCCCTTCAACCAGCGAGCCAATCAGAAGCAAATTGACCGGCAATTTGAACACCTTGACCAAGATGAAGATTAACTCGCTCAAGCCGAGACCCAGGTAGACGATCAAGAGTATGTTAGGCCGACCGCGCTTCTCGGATAACCTGCTCCAATATCCCGTCGAAAGGGCGGAAAAACAGCCAAGCGTGATTGATTCGATCGTCATGAGCCACGTAACACGTGTGTGCACAGTGTCAGTTTGGCAGTCCTGGTTGGAAAACACGCCATTAGAGAGCCATGAGCTTGAGTCGCATATCAATTCGGTTTTGATATGAAGTCTTGCGCCGATGCTAATCGTGCTCAATGTGGATATGGAGAAGTAGATCAGATAGATAACCCAAAGGTGCCGAAGGATTTTGTGGTAATTTGTGGCAAGACTAATATTTTTTCTAGCGCTCAAAGGGAGAAGAGGGCTCGACTCAGACCACATTCTCGCTCTTTGACATCCAAGCTCGGAAAAGGAGCAGTACTGCAGACTTATACCCAAAGTTCGAAAGCATCTCGGCGGGCATGTTGTAGAAAGAAATGTTAACAGTTTGCTGTAGTTGGTGTTCGAGATAGGTTCGCCCGAGCCGAAAGAATCATCTTGAGAGTCCACTATAGTGATCACACGGTTAGTGATACCGAAAACATTGACACGTAGAAATGATAGAAGCTGCTAGGACATTCTTCCCTTACAATCAGGAGAGGCCTGAAAGGTTGCTTTTTTGCTAAAGGATCCAGTGGAAAAAAGGGTTCATGAGGCAAAGGACTTCGATTCTTATAATAATGCCACGTTCATCCCGCCAGGAAAGATGACAATGTCACCAGCTGCAAAGCTTCTCCAAAGGATGTTCTTAGTCCGAAATGCTAATCCCAGCTTGGTACACCACCAGTATTGCACCAGTCCACTAGTTGTGCTTGATTTGCCACATTGATAATAATATTAAAGTTCTACTTTTGACTGCTACAACGCTAGAATCGCACAACACCTGCAACTTGATGCTCGAATCATCCATGAAAATATGCCATCAAAAATTTAATAATTTTGCCAGTCTCACAGAGGCAAGAGCACATTCAACTAACATGGTCCACACAATCACGCTCACATCTGGTCCATATAATTTTACAAAAAAACTAACAAATGTAATGGGGGAGGAATAAGGAGACTTGTTTTCATGTGAGACCATTATTATTACGACAAGAGATCACTCAGTTTTGATTTTCATTTGGTTCTATTAAATAACAAACACTGGCAATGAGAGGAGCACGGTAATAAAAATACTCAAACAGGAGGAAGGTCTAGGTTGAGAATAACATGAAGGAGAAGTGGAGCGGGAGAACAGAAAAGTGTCCTAAATTTACGTCGCACGTATACCATAGGCTATTCGAATATCGAACTTTCGGGCAAGGAAAGAAACAGCACCAGATTAGCCCACCTAGCATAAGAACGCAACGGGACTCAACGGGAAAGGTACTCACTTGATTTTGTATCCTATCTCGGAAAGAAAAGGCTCACTGAGGCCCAAAGAAAAGATGAGCTATGGATTATAGATCGAGGATTCAGTGGTCTGAATCCTGTCTACCGGCGGGTTTAAGAGGAGCAGCGCAAAGGGAAAACAGGCCTACGTGTAGCGGCTATTGGAAAGGACGAGGATGTGAAACTTGACTAGTCTTTCTGGAAAATTCAACGCCAGTCTGTCGAACAAAAAGATTAGCCATAAACAAGATGATCGATGTGAATGAAGTTTTTCAAGAAGAATGGATGATAATTTCAGGCATCCCACTAACACTTAGCACATCCGATCGAGGTTCCTGAAAACAAAATCAGCTCAATTTGTTAGGATACAGGAAGATTCAGCGCGTTGCTAGATACAGCAAACATACCAAGTTGCTTACAGGTTGGCTCGTGCTGAAGCCAACCAAGATCAGAATCAAAAACGAGGATAAAGCGGTGCGTATCGAGTTTTTGGGCATGGCAAAGAAGTCAAGTTGCTTCGCGGTTGTCAGAACCTGGTGGTGGTTCTAATGGAAGCAGCAAAGCGGGGAAAGCGTGAGGCAGGCTGAGGCAGTTGATGCAGGTGGAAGTAGCATGTAACGACAATGGAGTGATAGCACATATAAGGTCCCGCAGAGCCAACACGATCAGCTTATTGAAACCGCCGGTGTCTGGGTTGCGAATAGGATGGTTGAGAGACCCTCCAGGATAGACGGTGATCTGGCTGGCTACGCAGAGAAGATCTATAAATAATGAATGTTTAAGTATAGACGGCATTATTGTTTATCCGCAGAGCTCAGCAAGTTACTCTCACGCTGGGAGTGTTCGTCGGTGGCCGTAAATGCATGTTTCAGCACCTGTGTGTAATATCTCGGAAGTCTTGCATTGAGATTTCATCGATGAAGCTTTTGCAACTTCTTCAGGTGCCGTTCGATGACGCGTCTCCTTGACAACGCCTAGACCGGTCGACACTCCATCCATAGAATTGAACACCACTTGATTATATGATTTCAATCGTTCAACATGCCTTTGTCAAAATTCCAAGCACCGCATTGTCGTCAATGAACAATTCTTGTCTTGACTTGACGTCCCGCATGAATGGAGCTCGATGGATAGTAGATCATTAGCACATTGGATACCATTCCAACTTTCCGGCGGTTGACACCGCACCTGCCCGAACACCGAATAGCGTTTCAACATGATCGAATTTGCAATTAACAGCCGGGTGTCACCGGGTCTTTCCGGCTGATTGCGTATACCCACCAGCGTATATCATAAATGCCGACTTGTGGACGTAAAAGTATTCGACTCAGCGGCCAAGAAACAATTGTCTGAAGATTAATGAGCACAGTCTTCATGGAGCTGAGCTCAACATCCTCGTGCAGGTAGGTTTCTTTCTCCATGATCGCTCTGTGACCAGAGTTCGGAAAGCTGCTGTGATATGTATCCTGAGTGTGAATTTGTTGGGGGAATCGGTTCGGTAAAAACAAGTTGATTGGTACATAATGTGAGTGCCACGGCATGTACGCAATCATTCGCTTTAATACTCCATGGAGCCGATGTCATTAAATATGTAAATCTTTTTTACACCTCCGTCTCTTTATAGTCAAGTCTCTCAATCTACTTGATCACTCAGTCTCAGTGGACATGGTTTGGAGGCTTTTGCATTCTACGATTCGAAAGAAAGACTGATAATAACATAGGGGAGGAATTGTTTTAGAGGATATCAAGCTTATGAAATAGAAATTTCGAAATGGGAGGGGTTGTTGAACGAGAGTGATTATGTTTGGAAAATTTGCCACCTGCAAATTTTCATGTTGGGAAAGAGAGAGAGAGAGAGACAGAGGAAAACAGCTGCACCAGCCGTATTATGGCTTTCTCTTTCTTCGTATGTCCATCTCGATGGAGAATTTCAGGAAGCGAACTTCCTTACAAAACAGTGTGCTGGATTGAGAATCTTCAGGCTTGGCTGGTGATCCCCAGTTCCACGCAAGGTTCGCATTCTGAAAACAAAGATCACAAGGAAAGATAAGTGAGTTTCAATTCTAGTTCCCGGTCAAGATTGACTGGTCTGCTCACGGACTAGGTCCTCATCCTTCGAGCATTGATAAACCTCGCCCGACTCGGCGCCGCACACTGCGTACCGCAAGTTAAAAAAGTAATTCAGTATGGATAACTTTGGAGCGGCCGTTTTGACGGAGACAGCCGCTAGGAAATGCGACCTACTGGTGACACCCCCGCCTTCGGCATAGCCCGTTCGCGAGTACCATTTCGTGCATGCGATTTCTCCAGAACTCACCGTCTCCAGCTGCTCAGGCCCGATCTTCTTGTAGCACTCTTTGGCGTCTGTGGGCATACATGTGGTCAGCAAGCTCAATATGTCTAAGCTAACATTTCAAGCATTTCGAGCGGCCAGAAGCGCTTGAAAACAGAATCCAGCTTACATAGTATTCTGTCACATTTTGTGCAGGAGTACAATACTCCCGCATCCATGCACACTGTTGCAAGAATTGAACATGAGTAAACCGGGAGCATTGTGGACGCGGAATGCACCGGAGAAGGAATATCAAGACCTACGCGTTGACTTGAGATCACCAGAAGGAAGTGCCCCGGGTACTGTTGTCTGATTGGCTGGCATGGTGACAGTAAGCGCCTGTTGGACGGGCCCAGCGGAGGTAGATTTGATAGGTTTGCCTTCATACTGCCATGGAATACCAGTTAACGAAATCACGACGTGTTGCTTGCTGGGATCTTCTGGGGGAGCGGTAGTATTGGTGGGCGTGGTAGTTGGTTTTGCGGTGTTGTTGTAGGTGAAATGGGAGGGAAGGACGCTCATGGCAGTCCGGCATTGTTGGCCGCGTGGCTTGTGATGATGATGTCTCGCATTCGAGGGGTGGATGGTCAGGAGATAGAAGAGACTTGAAAGCACAAGGCCTTGCCATAATCCGTTCGTCATCTCTGTCTGGAGTAGTGAGTGGCTGCTAGATGGGCTCCCGCGAAGGTCGTGAGCTGTTGCCTGATGGACTGAGAGTTGCTTCCTTAAGCTTGGCGGTGTGGACCAATCTTCCAAGACGGGCGAATTTTTTCAAAGAGCGTTCAGGATTGCCAAGAGTTGGCTTCAAAACGGTAGGAACAGGTTGGAAATCGTAGAGGGACTACTGTTGGGTTTGAAGCCTGGCAAGATAAAATATGCGGCAAACAGTTTCTCAAAAAGTATTATATTCATTGACCACGGAGAGCCCGAGAGATGTGAGGCACGTCCGAGGTCCTGAAGTCTGGTTTCGAGAACCTGTATTGGAGTCTGCCAGGAAAGTTTGCACGCCTGAAAATGTTGGAGAATGTGACGCGTTTGGGAAGCAGTCTTCCTTCAGGTCGGGTCGCCATTAAGCGTTTCAGGACCATACTACCTGTGAGCTGGACTCTCTTTGAATACAGCACTTGCAACACCTCAAGAGGCAGTCTGACTGGCGGAAGGATGAACTGCAGACGATGGACACTGCTGGTCTGGCGTCGTTATAACTGTGGGGCCAAGACGCACCTAACCCATGCGAATGCTAAATGGTCAGGTGGAGCGGGGAGCCTACCATAGATTATTTACCACATTGCCGCAGAGGAAGATTCTCTTGCAGCTATCCAAGAGTTTGATTCCCAATAATCTGCAGGGCTTCCTTCTACAATTTTTTTTGAAGCGGTCACTTGACATAATAGGGGGTTCTGTTTTACCGGAGCCCTGTGTCGCACCGTGCGCAGGGCGGATGCGGCACCGAGAGTTTGAAGCTTGTCAGCCTCTGGTCGGACCGAGGTCGGGAGGCCACCGACTCCCACGGAGGCATGGCCACATCCCAACAGACTCCAGATAATATTTTTCGAGGCCTTGGGAACCACCAAGAACGACAACAGTCGAGGAGGAGGAAGAAGAAGACAGACCTGAGTATCAGAACCGCAACTTATTCGAATAATACATCCGGCTTTGATGATGACGAGTGTCGCTGTGGACTTGAACGGACTGCAAGAATCATTCCAGAATCTGAACTTTCATTCGAATGGCACAAACACAATCTCCAGTCAAGCGCCTAGCAGTAAGGATGAGAAGACACTGGAAAAACCTAGCAACCAACCGTTCCACTCGTTCCTGTGCATCGACTTCGAATCCACCTGCATCAATGCCGATGATCCGAGCCTCAACAATCCGACCCGGCTGAGCAAGGACCAATTGACCTGGCTGTATCCAAACGAAATCATCGAATGGCCGGTGATCCTGCTCCAATGGCGCACGGCCCAGGACGGCAATTGGGAGCTCTACGAAGCCGGCCGGTATCGTCGCTTCGTCAGGCCCGTCTGGAGACCCATCCTGTCCCAGTTTTGTATCGATCTCACCGGCATCTCTCAGGTCCGACAGTCGTCCTCAGTCATTCTTCAAATCCTTCTCATCAAGCAATCTCTAAAAAGAAGTGTTCACCAAATTGTGTCTTGATTTCTTTTTTAGGATGAGGTTGATCAAGCCATGACCCTGGACTTAGTTTTACGCGATTTTGATCAGAACTTTGTCAAGCCCCATAAACTATTCACCACGGACAATCAAACTATTTGGGTGACTGATGGACCATGGGTTAGTAGGGCTCCTTTCCTCAGACGCAAATATATTCAATAATCCTCAAATCTGATCCATTAATTAATCCTACATGTAGGATTTTCGGGATCATTTCGTCAAATCGACTTTTCTGGCAAGAATCGATGTGAACTGTTTACCGCGCTATCTACGCTCGCCGATCTCGCTGATCGATCTCCGATACCTACTCAAAGCGTTTATCCCCAACGTCTGTCCCTTCCCGCCCCCGGCGTCACTCAGTCTGTTCAATGCGATGGCCGCCTTCGGGCTGGAGTTTGAAGGACAACAACATTCCGGGATCGACGACGCCCATAACGTCGGCCGATTGCTCGCCGAAATGGTCCGATGCTCGATCCCCTTCGGCTCCCATGCCCCAAGGTGGATCTTCCGGCTCAATAAACGTCTCTACTTGGACCCTCGAAGGTATTTTTGGATGGCCAAAAAGTTCAAATGTACTTGGACTTTACCATAGCTTATCTCCCCCTCCTCCCCTCTCAACACCCCCAACAAAAAAAAAGGAGATCAGGACCTTATAAGTTATCTCGTCATGTCTGGCAAATCCTTAGCTTTTCTTTTTCTTTCTCAGTGCTGACGTCTGTATCCCCCTTTTCATATCTGGTTTGCTCATCTTTCCAAAATGTACACTATTGTCGTTTACGATTATCTATACCTACCAAAACAGTTGATGCTTGGGGAAGAGTTCACTTTTGTCAACAACATTTTGTACTGTCACCCTCGAGTAAACTTCTCGTTGTCGCAAAAAACAAAAACAAAACTCTCGACCCTATTGTTTGCCCAGATTGGAACAAATGTGACATAGTCTAGTTCTCGTGGTCATGAATAAGGTTTGAGTGGAACCAAGCCATGTCAGCCAGTACTCGGAAGAAATTAAGACTTCTAAATAACAAGAATGATTGAAAAAGTGTAAGGTCACCCATGTTTGGTGGAAAAAAATTGCTTTGATTAAATTTGAACTCGTAAATAGGTTGTAACAGCGTGATTAAGGATGAAGTTCGAATTATGTATATTAGATGACCTCAGTATACTTTTATCTGAAGGAACAAGGATGAGGAAATGCAGCAAGAGGAGAGGCTGCTCATATGAGCCGGACTAGGTCGATGAAAGTGATCCCGTTCTTGATCTCTTGAAAGAGAGTGCGAATCTTGCCTTGAGGATTAGTTGATACAGGATGTCCAAGATGAAGCTTGTTGTTATCGCGCCGCTTCTGGTCGCCATCTTTGGTGCAACAATGGACGCCATAGCCGTCGATATAAGAGGTGCTATTCCGGCTGTTGGGGTCTTCGGGCTCGGGGTAAAACTCTTCCTTGATTCTTCGCATCAGCCGCATCATCCCAATCTTGCATAGGCCCGATTCAAAGCGAAACAAATATATAATTCAATCAGTAAGGACTCCTTCCTACGGCAGTAGCCAGCTGAAAATCGAAAAAAAGAAAAAAAATCTTCTATGACATCAATACTTAACTGAATCACCGCCCAAATGTTCGAAGGATCGATCCAATCGGAACGGATCGGAATCTTGAAGACCCAAGATATCCGTCCAAATCTCTTTCATCTTGGCCATCTTGAGAGTGTCTAAATGGCACTGCCGGTTTGCCATTCGATTTTCATCTATGAGCAGCTGGAGTGGCCGCTGGTCGCTCAGTTTTCGACTATTTCGTTGCAGAACGGGGGGGAGGATCTCTGTTTGATGGTCATCTGGGATAAGTGTGCTTGTTGGACAAACGGACGGACTCCCAGTCGAGATCGGACTTTCGGTGGATAGGGATGGATTGAGGATCGAATGGATGGGTTGATGATGGTGATTAGAATCCGAGAGATGATTGAAGCTAGAGACTAGATGGACCAACAGCCTGTCGGCCATCGAGTCAGCCGGATCGCATGCCTCATGGAGGACGTTGCGGTTGATGAAGGATCGGTTGTCGTAGAAGAGATCGATGGTGATTGCGTCCCTGTCTTCTTCCAAGCTGACTTCGATGCTCAGCTTGTATCTGGTGGGCATTCGTATCAGCTCCGGCGGCTGCTTGATGGGTCCCTCTGGATGCGCCGAGTCCCAGCTCTGGATGGTCACTAGCGTGTCGAGCCATTCTCCGTGTCCAACGATCAATCTGCCGAGCTCGCCGACGGATATCATCTGATGCTTGCCGATCTCGCTCTCCGTCTGCTTCTCATGCTCCAAGGCTTCCAGGAGGCTCATCTGCCTAAACTGGCCGTCCCAGAGCTTCGTTCGGATCGGCAGGACTGAGACGCAGCAGCCCACCACGTCTTCTGCCAACCGGCCCTCATCCATCTCCACCTCCCTTCCGCTTCTTACCAGGCCAAAAACTACATCTGGGCCATCCAAGCCTGCATTGAACAAACCAATCGCGATCGATAGTCTGATCGCTATCGCAGGTGTGATCCCATGGATCAACTTGAGCTCTTCCAATTTCTTCCGGCCGAGCCATCTTGCAGATTTGTGTTGGGTAGTCGTGCAAGCTGAGCCAGTCGGATTTCTCTGGACTCCTTCCAGATAGACCTTCCAGAACTGATGGGTCTCGCGTTGATGGACCTCTGCACGCTTCTTCCAAGCGTCGACAAACGCACTATACCGAGTCCTCCGCGACGGGCTCACCGCCAGTATCGCCTCCGACTGGCTTGCTTCTTGGCGACACAATTCCCCCAATTCTTTCATCAGAATTTCTAGCGTCCAGCCGTCACTTAGAGCGTGGTGCAAGGACCAGACCATCCTCCTCTGTTTGCTGTCCTCGCATTCGAAGATCCTTATCGATCCACTGAGCCTTCCCCATTTGAACTTCCTTCGATCTCTGTCTTCTCTCAAGTAAGTCTATCGAAAAATACGAACAGAAGTGTTTGAGTCCTCAGTCTCATCAAGCAAGACAAATAAGCCTTACTCACATCAAGTTTTGAGCGATAGTCTTCTTCCTTTTCTATTCTTACAATCTCGATATTCTTAGCAATCCTTGTACTAGAATAATTCAAAACGATTTGAAAGATATCGGGTAGGCAATCTGGCCAGACGAAAATTGTCCTCAGAGCGGGATGATTGGAGACGAGTTGGAGCATATTCCTAGCGACTGATTCGCTCGAGAAGGATGGATGTATGACATAAACCGCTTGAGCGAAATAGATCCCGACTTTCTCGACATCATCCTTGTGATAATCGTCTTCCAGACTAGCACTGATGATCCCGGTTTGAGGTGGTGAGGTGGGATAACAGTCCTCGATCTCCTCCTTGGTGATCGAATGGACTTGACCCAGGTGATCGAAAACAGCCTCTTTTTCTGAGCCCGTCAGCAGATCAAATGGCGCGTAACTCCTCGTACTCGCCTTAATCATGTTTTGCTCACTACGGCTCGATTCTTGCTCATGTTCTTGAAGGATTCGGAGGAAAGCAGAGAAATCGGCGGCCCGAGCTAGAGTCGAAAATTCGATCCCGATCCCACTTCTTCTGACCCGGCCTACCGCACGCATCATCCCGATCGAGTCGCCGCCGAGTTTGATGAAATTGTCTGTCTCTTTAAATCGACTGGCCGGACCCGAGCGGCCTAATCCAACACTCCAAGCCTCGCAGGCCATCTGCTCGAGCCTTCCCATCTCTCCTGTTCCGTTATGACCGGCTGTTCGTGATGGCTCCTGGATACCGCTGCAAAAGTGCTCCTCCAGTAAGCCGGTCAATGCTCGCCGATCAACCTTACCGGCATAGTTAATAGGGATCCGACTGACCGCAATCCAGTATCGAGGAATCATGTGACTTGAAAGGTCGTCCCGGACGGCCTCTTTGACTTCTCCGACCAATCCATCGAACCATCCCCCGTCCTCACTCAAGCTAAGTATCTTAAGCTCTGGGTCCACCGGGGGAGGTGTACCAAGAAATAGACCCTTGTCATGACGGAGCAACTTGCAAAGCTGAGGGTTGAGCTCAATGAAACAGACTAGACCCGCCGTGCGCGTGTTATTCCCATCCCATTTGGAAATGACGACCCGGAGACGGTGTCCATACAAGGAGGGGACTCGGTTAGCAAGCTGGTTCAACCGCTGCTCGACTTCTCCGAGCTCGATCCGCACGCCAGATAGTTTGACTTGGCTGTCGATACGCCCGAGACAGCAGATACTGCCGTACCCTTCTGATCCCGTCGGCAGGAACTTGCCGAGATCGCCGGTCCGGTACAGTCGGACGGGCTCGACGGGCCCGTCTAGCTTTAGCTCGACAAACTTCCCAAGCGAGAGTGCGCTGTCGGTATACCCTCCAGCTACCTGGGCCCCACCTACACATATTTCTCCGACCCCACCCAAGCGCACCAATTCGGCTAGATGAGGCTCGAGGATGTAGATCTCATTCAGCCCGGTCGGCCGTCCGATATCGTCAAGGGGTAACCCCGGACGGTCCTCTAGGGTCAATGAGCTTATGACGCCTACCGTCGTTTCACTGGGCCCGTAATCAACGCACACACTGACGCCTCTGGCGAGGAACTGTCTGCGTAAATCAGCTGAGACGGGCTCAGCGCCCGTATTGAGATGATTCAAGTAGAACCCCCGGCCCGTCCACTTCTCGGCCACTCTTTCTGGAGACAAATTCTGCGTCGATCTGAAGAGCTCGTCTTCTAGTAAGACGTGGAGCACCGTCGGCGTCAGATCTACCGTCGTACATCTCAAGTCAATCATCGTCCCGATCAGGTCGCTTTTCAGATCCTCGACTGTCGTCATACAGATCGTCGCTCCGTGCTATCATTAAGCAATTGCACAAAAAGAGCAACCTGATTAATTGAGCTCAAATTGCTCCAAAAAAAAGATAAAGACAATGAGAAGCTTTCAGACTAACAGCCAATGTGTCCCAAATAGACATCACCGAAACATCAAAAGAGTACGAGGCGAATTGCAAGACCCGAGTCCGGCCGTCATTTTTGCGCTGAAACCTCAAGGAATAGTTGAACAAGAACTGGAGCAGATTCGAGTTGGATATCTTGATGGGTTTAGGCTGGCCGGTGGTGCCGGAAGTGTAGACGATGTAAGCGGTCTGGTTCCGGCCGGTTGGGAGGAGATATCTTTCTTCCATCTCTCTCATCCTTGATTCATATAACTCTAATATTTCCAGAGGTCGTTTGGCTTTCATAACAACTCTCGACTGGTCTTGCTCAGCCCCCGCCTGTCCTGGCCGTTTCCCAGACAGTTCGAATCGGGCTTGGAGATCCTGACAGTAGGAAGACAGATCTACAATATCTTCAAATTCTAATTGCTCTGGTAAATTATTCTTCGGATTGAAATCCATCTGATTATTATCGTAGCTCTCGAATGTTAATAGTAAGCAGATCTTCAAGTTCCCGGCCAAGATAGATTTGACCCTGTTCTTGGGAGTGGATAATTCGAGGTTCAAGTAACTCGACCCGGTCAATGAGACGGCAAACATGATCAGAACTAGCCACGGGTTTTTGTTCATCAGGAGACATATTGTTGGGTTCTCATTCCTTAGAAAGTTGGTTGGCTTCTTATCTTGAATTTCCCGAATAAATTTCAAGAGATGTTCTGATAATATGTAAGAGTAATGAGCAAACTGCTTGAAATTCAACTTCAATTCCAAGGGCCCGTCTTCATGGCCGGGGCCTCCATGAGCGACAACAACAGATGGATGTGCAAGCTTGGCTCTTTCGAACCAATGAAGCGCGACGAGGGTCTCGTTAATCTGGGCCGATCTGAGGACCAATTCGACTAACGATTTCGAGCCCAAGAAGTGCTGGACGAACGGCGGCCTGCTCGAGTTGATTTGGTGGGCGGTTAGGGCCGGCCTGGAGAGCTTCAAGATGAGCTGTTTCTCTTGCTCTGAGATTTTTGATGGAAGCGAGCATAGACGGGTCCCGTGCGCCTTCATCTTTTGGGTGTCATCGTCCTGTGTGGATAGCAGTTTGCTTATCTGATCGAGATAGTGGACGGTATGGAGGAGGAACCAGCTGGCTAGGTTTGGGTGAATCTTCCCTGCTGGACCTGGGTGGCTCGTCAACTTGAAATGAGCATGATCCATGATTTGGAGCACCCATGGAGACCGAGCTCGCCAGCTTGCTCCTTCATCCTTTGACTGAGTGACGCCTTGATCATCTTCTGGCCTAGAGAAATCTATCACCAGGCCCGCTTCCGGGAGGCTTTTGGGGCCATTAGTCTGCTCTTGTTTTCGGGTGAGTTGGGAGGTAATGAGGTTGATGAGAGTTTCGATCGGCTGGGTGTCTAACTGCTGGAGAGTCAGGCTAATGTTGATGAGACGGCTTCCTTGATCTATTGTTCCGACGGACAGAGCTTGACTACCAGGTCCGAGCCCGGTACTACTACTACCGGACCCCCCAATGGATAGCTGGTGGAATTTCAAGGAAGCCAAGCTTGAGAGTACCACTATGGCCTTGAAAGTGATGATGCTCTCAGTCTCGGCTACCTCGCTCGGCTTGGAGTACTGGAACCGGATCGATTGGATGGCATAGCCCTTTTCCACTTGACCGTCTGGCTCATCGGGCTCGGCGTGGTCCATATATTCCTCATCTCCGGCCGTGCCGAAGGAGTCTTTGAGCAGAGGCTGGTGGAATAGGAGAAGCTCGAGTGCACTCAATCGGTTTGGGGACATCCCGGTGCAGAATGAAGCTAGCAGTGAATACAAGGGTTGCAGGGCGGTCGTGGACGTGATATAACGATAAGCAGAAAGACGAAGCAGACGCTAATCACCCGATAGGATCAAGAATACAGCAAAAAAAAAGCGAACACGCTGTTTGCTTAGGCCTCGTTTGGCCGTCCATGATCGTCATAAACGATCATGGCGAATATATCGGGGGTGCACAGCTGAAGACGGGGCCTCACGATGGTGTTTGGGAGGCCACGTCATATCCACTTTTTTTATTACGGAAGTGGTCAGCGAAATATATTCCCTGCCAATTCCAACATTTTGGGTCCCCCCAAAATTTTGCGTCATAAGTCCTCACAGCGAGGTTGATGAGGATTTTCAGGCTGCGTCATTTGCACAGCCTGGAATCATCAAACCTAGATTTTGATTTAACGATTGGAGACGACGGCCTATTACGATCGTGGACGGCCAAACGAGGCCTTAGCATATTCGAATTTAACAATTTAATATTCAAAGATAAATATCTGATAAACCGTTGCCGGTACAGCATGGAGTAGTGATCCTTTTCGTCAGGAATTCAGCGGTGGATGGGAGTGAGAGTAGTGAGCATCGCTTCTCGGGATCGAGGGACTGTGTATCTGCTTGAGCCCGACCAATGGAGCAAGCACCCATGGGTGGTCAGCAGATTGCTCAACAAACACTGATCTAATTATTTATATCTTCTCATATCGCTCCCATCGACACTAGACTCTAGAGTATCGAGCATGAAATAGAGAGTGTGTTCGTCGGGCCTCGGTGGACCCTTCCTCCTCCTGTGGCCCACCAAACAAAGTTTAACCGATCCTCTGGGCGACGGGAAGTCCTCCAGCCAGACTCCAGTATCCTCTAGCCGAGCTCTCTCTTTCTCTCGTTGTTCAGTTGTTTCCCATTTTTCAGGTGGTTCTCAAGTTCCTCTATATCTTACTTTCTCTTGTCTTTCCGTTAGAAATGCAGTCGTATTTATAAGAACCTTCTTCACCCATCGGCAGCCCGTGTCTCCATCACGACCCGTGATAGGCTGTACAAAGCCCCCGTCTATGTATACTAAGGATTCCCGAGATACAGTTGTTAGGGTCCGGGACAATGCCTTACATGATGTAAATATGTAGTTCGGCCGGACTGGCTTCGACGGATCCACGCGCGGGGCCATGAGTCGTGTATCGGCCTTACATAACTGTAGTGTCCCTGAACTGATCACTTCCAGACTGCAAAACAGCCCGATGGCGCCCCCGGATTGGGACTATGTAGTTCCCTGGGACCCTGCCGGAGCGCGTTGAGAGCTGTCGAGGGCATCATGACCACTCTGTATGTACCAACATGTGTATGAAAACCACTTTATGGGGTGGTGTTGGCGTGATTTCCACCAATCCGGACTCGATGGGAAGCAGGGTGCAACTTGAGCCCCAATATGAGTGTGATGGCCATTGCATATAATATAATTCATCCTTAAAGGCTTGCA